ATCTTGGTAGCTGTACTAGCAGAAACATAAAGAGTTCTAGTGGCCCCCTAGTTCTCTGCCCCCAGCATCTGAATTTGGAGGTAAGCTGCTTCTGAATCCCATTGCATGTAACAAATATTCATTAGCGATAATTCTGTCATCTATGAATTTCTTCAAGCCTTTTAAAGCTATCTCAGCCAGAGGCCACCACGTCTTAGGCCAGTGAGTTCTGTAAGCCATTATGTGAAGGAGTATTGTTTCTCTGTGCTGAACAGGCTATCAAATAATTTCATGGAGGGACTCGGAATTCTCAGGTTACAATGAATGCAAAGATCAAAGGTTCTCAACAGGAGGTCTGCCTACATCAGGTGGGACTTAGAAATAGTCTAGGTCTATGATTGTAAATAATAAATTTAACAATAGAAATGCCTGTCAACACACAAATGCCTTTCTTGAGAAAAATGGGCTTTTTGTTTTGATCATGGTGGGACTTAGGTCCTTTGATAGGGTAATTAGGTAAGAAATGAAGGATAGGGAATCACTGCCACCGATAACTTTATAGATATAGCTGTCTTCTCTTTTTACCTGTCTCTCTTGTTTGGTTCCAATTCTTTAATTGTTTCAAGTCTTCTCCCCAGTTTAAAATCTGTACTAACTATGTAACATTTCTAGATGGCAGTCAAGAATGGTACATAATGTCTGGTTTACACTTAACAATAGATTATGATTAATTATTACATGCATAATTTCTGAATAAAAGTTTAAGTGCTTTTTCTTTCATTCAAGTAAGGAGAAGAACAAACCATGATTCGGTTGTTTCCCAAGTTCTAGTTGTCAGTAAAAATATGAGCCAAGAATCGTGATTTAAAACAAACACCAGTCAATTGCTACACAAGCCAACTTTAAACCCTGTTTTAATAAACTAGACTATATTTTAAGCCACAGTTTCTGATTCATATAAACAAAAAATACCAAGAGTTTTGTTTCGTTCCATCTCCTAGCACTTGAGAGGAAAACCCTGGAGCTTAGCGCTCAGCTCAGATTTGCAGTGATTCCCACAAGTGATGCAAAACTGTAATTTTCCAAGCCTATTTCAAAGTGGCTGCAGTAGTCAGTCATATACAAGTGACGTTCACTCCGGTTTGATTCTCCCTATCTGTGTTTCTTGAAACCAGAGTTCAACAGCTGACATGTATTACCCTCACCTACACACAGAGAATCCCTTGTAGGAGGTCAAGATTGTTGTGAAAGTGCAAAACCACAAACCCTTGATAAGTAAGGAAGAAGCCACTGCAGAGCAAGCTGGAGAAAAGACTTGTTAACTACGTGTATTAGTTGACAGCTGGCAGCTGACAGAACGGATAGTGAGGGACGGGGTGGAAGTTTGGGCCAGGAGGGACAAGTCTGAAAGATTCCTTAATTTCTTCTCACTCTTTTGGTTGACACTTGACCTCTAGGACCTGGACCCTAGGAAGCAGCCTCTTGGCTTTTGGAGGGGAAACAGAGGGGAACAAAGTATAGGAAGAGAAAACAGAAGAAACGAAAGGAGTTGGACCTTTGCTCTCGAGAAACCGGAGGCCCTGCTATTTAGGAACAGGAGCCAAAGGGATTAGCGGGAGCAGCCGCAACCCTGTCCCCAGGCTCAGTTTGCGTAACAGGGACAATTTGTACACAGAGATCATGTAAGACAGACATGATGACAGGAAAACAGGTGGCCAGGAAGCAGAAAACTTGGACAGGCAACAACAAATAAGAAAAAACAGATCCATCTTTCAAAAGATAAACACTATTTCACAAGAAAGCACAGCCAAGATGTCAAGTTTACAGTATATACTAAAGCTCCCCAAATCATTGCCCTGCTTCATATACACACAATAGTGTGCCAAAAGCTGAGTCCTTCGTGCTGTACAGATCCTGCAAATCAACTCAACTGGCGTATTTTGCAGACTTTATTCAGCTTCTATAGGAAGAAGTTATCTAAGTATTGCCTATAAGGCCTGTCTCCTATCTAGTCAGCGTTTGGTCATCTGAATTCATTTTTGAGCTAATCTTTTCCCACCTCCTGAGGTCAATGGAACTGTCTCCATTAAAAATCTACTTAAAGCTAGCAAAAATCCTTTTTAATAAAATGTATATTTATTGAGAATTTTACGTAAAGTAAAAGACATCTAAAGAAAAAGATAGGGAAGAAAGGAAAAAAGAAGAAAGAAAGAAAGAAAGAAAGAAAGAAAGAAAGAAAGAAAGAAAGAAAGAAAGAAAGAAAGAAAGAAAGAAAACTTGTTATGAAAAATAATGATTTCTGACCTTCTTTTC